GCGAGACCATACTTGGCAGCTGTAGTGTCACTACACTCGATATTACGTTTTGTTTCGAAGCGACACGAAACAAAGGTGCAATTGTTGGAAAATCACCGCCCATTGTAAACTGTTGATCACTCTAAAATTATACGAATAAAATATAATAAAATAAAAAATCAAATAAGATATAAATATAATAATAAGTATAATTAAGTTTTAAAAAAAAAGTTTCACCCACTTATTCATAGAGTATGCATATGGGAAGAAGCGGCCATCCCAACACAAGTATCCATCGGAATATTTACTGGGAAGTTTCGAACATAAAATTGTAAAGATGATTGAGAAATAAAAACTTTTATTTTATTTTATCTTATAAATTAATTATTTGTTGCCTATTTGTTGATGTACATGTACATAATGATAATGTCAGCGGTGAGATGATACCTTGTTAAGCAAAGTACAGTGAATATAATCACACGGAAGCATAAAGTTAATAACGAATTGTCATTTTGAGAAGCAAAAAAAAAATACAGTCAAATTGAGAAAATCCTCCTTTTTGAAGTCAGTTGAATAGAGAATTTTCTTACAAATTATGTTATACAAAACAGCATTTTTTCTTAACTTCGTCAATAAAAAAAATATAATAAAAACCGACTTCCATGTACTAAAAAGTAAAAAAATAATCAAACGAGAGTTTTCATTTAGAATAGATACCTAATCAGATATTTTCGTAGTCGGTGTCAGCCAATACAAACCAAAGCACACCGATAATCCCCGTTTAGTTATTATTTACATTTTAGTGCCTGAAAGTCGTTTTTTTTAGTTTTTATTTTTGCATTTTTAGTGTATACGTAATAAAGCAGGTAATTTATAAGAAGAAAGTTTTTAATAGCATATTCGATTAAGACATTTATTTAAAAATATATATATTGTTGATTTTTTCTAAAACCGCCCACCGATTTCAGTAAAATTTAAATGGAACCACCTGGAAAGTATATCCTTTAAAACAAAAAAAGAATTTTCCAAAGCGACAGCCAAACATACATAAAAAAATCCGATGAATTGACAACCTCCTCCTTTTTGAAAGTCGGTTGAAAAAGAAAAAACTGTTAATAACAAAATTTATTACCTACCTATATAATTTTGGGCTATAATATAAAGAAGAGTATCGATAAGCCGTTCCCATGTATGTATATAAATGATCTATACATAAGTTAGTCTAATATTTTCGTAACTAGCTGGGTATTAGGTCACTGAACCTCAGTTCGCAGCTGTTTTCTTACCCTGTTTATTTTAGTGTGTCAACTGGATAATCCTACAGAGTAGTTATTGAGTTCGAATAAATGATATCAAAATTTCATTTTCCTTATAAAAGGTAATTTTTAGAGAAAAGTATGATGTTTATTTTTTTTTTGTTTCATCAACAACGCAAATAGATATGTGTTTTGGCTTACTACTGACTTGGGTTTTCTTTCTTTCTCACAACAACATAATGAGGTTACTTGCTTAAAGGTATAATAAATGGCCCCGAGACTATCAGTGGCTATATATAAAAAAAATATGTTGGGACATTAACACACAACATCATCTAGTTCCATGGTAAGTTACGAGGCTTGTGTAATGAATGCCAGATAGTTGATACACTATATATAATTTTAAATAAATACATATTATAAATATAAACACCCATGAATGGAGTACAAACATTCGTGCACATCACACAAATGAATGCCCCCAGCGGGACTCGAACCAGTAACACAGCAAGTAGAGTCACTACAAAGTACAAACTGAGCCAAACGTGTCGTCAAATATTTATTCTTATATTTCAGAGTAAGTGGAAAACGTGATAAATCTCGTTTCAAATAATAAAATATTGCCAGTGACTGACTAGGCTAAATCTTAATGTATGTATGTAGGTATAAAATTCTTCTGCACGTGTGTTAGTCACCTAACTCCTAAACGGCTGGACCGATTTCCGATGAAATTTTGCTTTTTCAATTTTAAAGGGTTCCTGGATGGTTTGAAAACACAAGTGGGCCCGGTAGATGGCGCTGCAGTCAGTGTGTCACCAAATTTTCATGAAAGACTCCATTTTCCGTGTAATAAATACAATTAAATTGTTGATTAAATAAAATAAAAATCGATGTGTGTATTTACATATGTTCCCTATGGACTCCAAAACAGCTGGAGCGATTTTGATGAAATTTTCATGCAAACTTCAGATTATTCTAGCGGGTGATCCTGTAAATTTTGTTAGCGATCGGAAGTTTAGACGCGGGCGAAGCCGCGGGTATTCCTAGTTACTTATATAACAATACGCACTTGCCTACAAACCAACCGGCTGATGGATAAGTTGAACCAAATCTGATTTTTATTAATAAAATTATCAGCAAATTATGAATTAATTGTTTATTTGAATTGAAAGATCGTATGGTTGGCGTTTGGTGTGAACTGTGAGGCATCCGCCAATCCACGCAAGTCAATGAAAAACCGCAAATCATTATGCGCTCCACCGACAGATGTCAATATACCACTTGAGTTGAATAATAAAATAATAGCGAGCCAATAAACTTCGGATGTGGCATCTCGAATTCGAATTTTTGTATATTGTACTTAATTATTTCTTGAGAACATAGACTTAATAATAAAATATTAAAATAAACTTTATAAATAGGTAGGATATCGTTTTATTTATTGAGTTTAAGGCTTTTTCTTAAGATAGTTCTTTCCTGATGGACTGAGAAGTCATTTTTTAAGTATGAATTTCTCAATTTAATAAATATCGCGTACTTGTAAAAACATAGTCTGTGAAGTATTAAGTGTGGTAAAACACAATAGAAGCGCGTGCGCCGGCGCCACCGCAGCATGTATCTGCATATATTATAGTATAATTGGCTTCCGTAACCCAATGGTTAGCTTATCAGAATGTAACCTTGAAGCCTTTATTTAAGGTTCGAGGCCTGATCACGTTTTTTAGTTTGAAGTTTTTAGTCAAAAAGTTGTCAGTATCAGAAAACTACCAAAAATAACTTTAGCGAAATGGCGTTGGATCATATTGTGTACTGTGTGTGTAATAGATTATAGAGGTGTATTTGTTTCCATATAAGCTGGTGCTATATATCCTCCAAGAAGTATTACGGTAACTGGTAACTTCATATCTCAAGTAGAAAAAGGATTCCGAAATTACTTGCCAACTGCACGAAACTGCAGACAAAGCGCAGGCGAATAAAGTGATACAATTTTATCGCTCACTTCCATTTATTTTAACTTTGGAATTACAATAATCTTAACAAAATAGGTGTTCAGTGAACAAAAATGTTTACAAGACATAATACTTTCTTAGATTTACATGAATATTTGACATTTCACATAAAACTATCTTTTAGGATTTTTTCGCGGATTTATTTAGGTAGATTTTTGGTTCCCGACGTTTCGAATGCTTTACAACATCTTGGTCACCGGACAGTCTCTCCCGTGATAGTCTTATTTAAAACTTTACAATACACTTTAGACAAACACACTTTTTAGAAAAACAAGTTAATATGTAATGTAGTACGTGGCATCAGTTTAGATGTTTTCTTCTGTTTATTGTATTCGTAGCACCTTACGAATGTTATTAATTACAATTTGTTGTATTTAGATTTAGAAAATTTATTTTACGAGATATTTTCTAAAGACTCAAACCTAAAGTAAAACTTAAGTAAATAATACATACATATTATTTACGTCTATATAATTAAAAATGACTGTTTTTGCTTATTTGTACTCTATGCGTCTGTAAATTATTTATCCGATTAAGATCAAACTTTGGGTGAGTTATTCTGAATAATTGAACTCAAACTTGAACTTGGCCTGACCCAGGACTCGAACCAAGGATCTCCGGATATATAACCGTACATGCTAGCCACTACACCACTGAGGCAGTAATATAGATATATTTTTTACTAATAATAGAGATAATTTTTAGTGTACACTTGTATGGTCTGTCAATATGCAATAACCGGAGCTGATGATATCAGCACGTGTGTCGCATCATAGCACGCAAGGTCAAGTGCAAACTATTCGTATCTTACTGAAGACAGACACGAATAAATGTTTTCCAAAATAATATCAAAGATAAATTTGTAATGATAAGAGCACTTGATGAAGTTATTTCTATTTCCTGCCCTCAGTTTACTTGCCACCAAGTATCTACTTGCTTCTTTACTGTCTCGATGGTGTAGTGGCTAGCATGTATGGCTGCACACCCGGAGGTTTTGGGTTCGAGTCCCGGGTCGGGCCAAGTTTAGTTATTGAGTCTTTCTGTATACTAAGCCTCGGTAACAGCCCGGAGTTGGGAAGTTGGCGGTGTTTCACCCCCGTGCCTGGGAGAGCACGTAAAGCCGTCGGTCCTGCGCCTTAACTCTCACTGGTCGTGTCGAGCAGTCGTCCCACCGGAGTATGAGAGTGACAGGATTAGAGAGTGCACTTGTGTCTGCGCGTACACTTGTGCACTATAATATCTCCTGTGCAGTGGGCTTATCTAAATGAGATTGGCCGCCGTGGCCGGAATCGGTCAGGAGAACATCATCATCATCACTTGCTTCTTTACTTGCATTATTTTACCTGTAAGTACAAAAAAATTACCTGTAAATTTTAGCGTAGTATCTTTATTGGAATAAATAAGCTTATCTTTCAATATATTAAAAAATAATATATTTTTAGACATTTAAGAAGCGCTCGGCTAGAGAATAGCCGAATAAAAATTACTATTTATATATTCTTACATCGTTCGAAAAGAAGTATTTATATAAGAAATTACATACATATACTCCTTGCTGTATGTTTTGTACTTGAATTTAATGTCAATTATTACAGTTATGTCATAAACAAGGAACACACAACTCTCTGACGAGTCATAAAATTGTAAATCACAACACAGACCACATCAAGCTCATAATATTTTTTCATCTGTAAAATAGAAATGTTTGGTTAAAAATTAATCTATTTGGGTTACGTGAGGAGGAAGCGTCGTGATCATGAAGGCTCTGCTGCACGCTGCCGCCGTGATACTGTTGCTGCTCCTCTTCAGACCAAAGTGCATGCTGGCTGCAGTGTGCTATGTATGCCCCTTGTTTTTGTTTCACTTGCTTGTCTCTGTTATTATATATACATTCTCTATACATATCATAGTAATTTGTATGTATATAGGCGTATGTTAGCTACTGAAACGGCTAGAATAATCTGGATGAAAATAGACGATGACCTGAAGTAACGCATCTGTCTGTCTGTTACCGCATCACAGAAAAACCACTGGAGGGATTTTGATGAAATTTGGTAAAGTGATAGCTGGTTATCCGGGTCAACATATAGGATACTTTTTACTGCAGGAAAATGTCTCATTTCTGAGAAAAAATACAAAAACTGCCATGTAAGAGTATATTAATACGTTAAACCTAAGAATTTTGTTTTTGGTCATCTAAACGCGGTTGAAGCCGCGGGAATTTTAGCATATGCATAAATTTCTGGTTGTTGACAACTATAGGTACTATATACGTATACTATCAATATATTTTGTTCCCATAAAATATATAGGTACCTACCTACGTATATCATAATCGATCCTTTTGGGGTATATATACATAATCTAATGTATAAATTTTGACGTTACTTTTAATTTGTCTCAGTTACATCTAAATTGCTAATTTGAGCATGTTCTTTACAGAAAAAAACAAACATGGATCATTTTAAAGATGGCAACATTGAGGACGCTCCTCTGCCTTACATCAACACTTGCAACCAACACCTTTACTATGTGCCACCAAAATATAAAAAAGACCCAGAAATCGATGTGGACAACGAGCAAATAGGAGAACAACCTCTTCTATAGTTTTAATAAGATAGATTAAAAATACAAAACCTTTAATAGGAAATTAATTAAATTTTTTGCATTGTTAATATGTTTTGCCTAATTGTAACGTAACAGAAATAAAAGTAGAATAACTCTATGATATCACAATTCACTTGAACTTTTTATTTTTGTAGCTTTAGAACAGTTCAGTTTACAGTAGCTTTCTTTGACTCATAAGCTAGTGATACTTAAGGGTTCTAATTCCTAATAAGTAATACCTACCCCACTTTTGAAATAAACTGTTAATTTATACAAAAGCACATATAATTTATATCTCAGGAAAAAAATTGCTGTTGTTGAAAACGTGTGTGGAATTCTATACAAATATCTTAATTAATTTTTATCAAATTAAAAGTATTTATAATTTTTAATAAAAAAATATATTTTGCTTAACACCTGTAGCAATAAATCATTCTCGTTCTCTTTAGTATGAAATTCGATGAAGTTAATTTAACATTCGTAAGAAATTGTGATTTCATGTTATTAATGTTATTAACAAATCCTGTCTAATGACCCCGTTATTTTGAATAAGATTTTCTTTTATTAACCGACTTCCAAAAAGGAGGAAGTTATGAATTCGTCGGAATCTTTTTTTTTATGTATGTTCACCGATTACCTACTTGAAGACGCCTGAACCGATTTGGATTTTTTTTTTGTTTCACCGGCTGGCACCGACTTCGAAAATAATTTAAGAGGTATCTATTCTAAATAAAAACCTCCGTTTAGTTATTTTTTACATTTTAGTGTCTGGAAATCGGTTTATATTTTTTGTTAAAAAGTTTTTATTGCATCATTAACTTCCAATTGTGCGGATTCGCGGAATTGATAACTGCGCGATTGAGCATGATATATAACTGGATTGGAAACATTATATCGCACTCAATTTAACTTAACACATACCAGAGAATATAATGGGCTTTTAGGTATTCTATATAATAATTATGTTATACATTTTAAAAACATTACCATATTCTATACAAGTTCGATAGCGGAAAAGAAAAATAGATGTCATTGGTAGAGATAATATAAATTCATGGATATTTTTATGGTTTTCTCAGAATTTGCTAATAGTAACGATTATTACAAAATTAAAGTAAAAGAGTAGATACTGTAAAATATTATGTATATTTATTAATCAAAAAAATAAGAATATATAAAATCATACAGTCAATGCCGTACTGGTGAGTTAAACTGCCGCCTCCTCACCGGCACCATGAGGTATCTGACATTCTTCTTATAATACGGGCAAGCTGGTTCGTCACAACCCAAGACTTCGGCCTCTTGGATACCGTGACCTTTTTGAAGGAGCTCGTCTCCGAGGACCAGTCTTCGAGCGCAGGCGAGGACACAGGGGCCGCAGACAGCCACGGCACAAAGTGCTGCTAAAAACTCTAGCACGAACATTAAAGTGTCGTCCAACATTCTCTAATCATATTTTAATTCCATAAATTAATTTAATTATACTATAGACTTAATAATTTCATTAATTTCGAAATAACTTTATAATATAGGTATTAATAAAATAATCTGAAAAGTATAAACAAAATTTAATGACATTAATGTTCATACAATATATAAAAAGTTTACAAGGAAAATAGCTGTATACCATATTTAAAATAATAATTCTATAATAATTATATTTTATACCATTTGGTAAAAACCTTGGATGACTAATAAAACAAATAAATTAGCTTGGTAATAACTAATAGGAAAATTTTATAAATAAAATTTTAAAATTAAATAAAAATGACTATTATATTATGTACTCGTAAGTCGTATGTTTATATAGTTGCCTTATAAAGAGTAGGAGACACTAAACATAGCTGTTAGTCTATTGACAGCTAGAAGTCACCAATAAATCTTATCATCTTATTTCTAATGATCGTCATCTTAAATGATTTGTGAAATCATAATAAAGGAATTGCGTTTCGATTTCCGAAAAATGGAGATAATTATAGATATCATGATGGATCAAAAATTGGCAAAATATTCTAAAGATCCGTACTGTATATTAGCCTCAGCACACGAATCTGCAGTTTTAAATTTATAATTAAATTGGTAATCCAACAATGCCAAAGTGACCGACGTTCAAACTAAAGCTATGAATACTTTCTTAGATTAACGCGAATATTTGACATATTAAATAAAACTATCTTTTCGGATTATTTCGCGTATTTATTTTGATTATTTACTAATCTCTCTCTGTCTCTCCCGTGACCATGGATGCTGTAAAACATTCAAAACGTAGGGAACCAAAAATCAAAATAAATCCGCGAAATAATCCGAAAAGATAGTTTTATTTAAAGTTATGAATACAAAGCTTCACGAATCCCCAAAGTAACAGAATATCTTAATTTGCTTTGAAAATTATTCTCCTTTATAGTATGTACTCCATAACATAATAATTTGAATAATTTATGAATACACTTGCAACATCATAACTAACTTACGTCAAAATATATTTTCACAATTGACAATGACACTTGACAGTTGACAGCGCAAATTGCTATTGACATTTGACATGGAACGCCGAAGCTATGTTTCGGTAAATAAGATATGAATTTATTAATTAAAAATAATACATTTGTACATTTATACGTATCAAACAGTGTTATTATTTAAGTCTAAGGATTATTGGAAATAATGCAATCGAAATATATAGTTGGGTAAGTGAAGCGAATTAAAATAATATTATATTGCTTATTTGACAATTTTATTGCACATTTGAAACAATCATGTATTATTTACGACATAATAATTGCTAATTACAACTATGTAAATTGAATAGAAATGCGATAGTTTGTTTTTTGTTTTTTGATTTTTTTATATAATCATTTTATCAACACAAAATAGGTTTCTAATATCACATGACTTCATTATTACTTAACAGGTCTAATAACCAGTGATTTTTTGGAAAATGGAAATTAAAAATGCTTCAATAACAAGTATAATAATGATAAAAGTTTTCTATTGAAACATACAGAATTAATTACAATTCTTAAAATAACCAACCACTTAGTGTCTCAAAATCAGATTAATTTCACTTAAAATACACTGGAAACTATTAATTATTAAAACAAAAATAATTGCAATTTGTAGCACTTTTATATACACATCTTTCAAGTATGCTTTTATTATTATAGGTTGGTGTTAGTGTTGTGTATATTGGCAACATGGCTCTTTGGACATTTATATAGAGAGCTGCTGTATTTTTATGAACAAACGGGCACTCTAACAGACTCTGAATATTCATGGTAATATATTACACAATATACTATTACTAGCGACTCACCCTCGCTCTGCTCGGGTTCATCCCTGTGGACGTTTTAACGTTTAGTATAGATTTCTCAGAGATGACATATTTTCTTGTAATAAAAAGTAACCTATATGTAGACCTGGATAACCAGCTATCATCAAACCAAATATCATCAAAATCCCTCCAGAGGTTTTTCCGTGATGTGGTAACAGACAGACAGACAAAAATTCTATAACTATAGATTCGACCTCTGTTTCGATAATAATGTCTATTTCAATAAGATAATAAAAAATATTGAATGTACACATTCGGCTTAGTTACAATTTTATTATATGTATAGATAAATGTATTAAATATATATTGTAAATGTATTAAAAATTCAAACTTCAAATATGATATACATAATATATGCGTTTTGTTTTATATCCACATTTATTTACATTGTAGTTGTTTTAATTTTATGCAGTAGCTAAGTGCTGAATTTAGTTTACCCTAATCTTCTTCACAACTATTCTCACTTGTCTAATTTTTTTTATATTTTTTTCAGTACAGTTTTATTTCTTTATTATAAATTATGTTTTTACAGGGTTTTTAGATTATTATTGAACTTAGTGGGATACTCTACAGTGTTGCTGCCGTGTTATGTCCTGTATAAATATTTGGAGAAAACAAATTATTTTGATAAGATAAGTAAGTAAAAAATATATAATTTATAAATTTAAATATCTAATTATTACATTAGAAATTATTATCTCTACCATGTTAGCAATCATAGCATTGTTTACAGTCATGAGGCCTAAAAAAGTTGCTTTGACCATATCCATACTTCAACCATCATAGTACCTGAAATACTTGAAATAGTACACATTGAAATGATTTAACTCTTATTTTTATTGTTACCATGCATACCACATAACCCAAAGGCAACCAACCTTATATGTATGTAATATGTATGTATGTATATATTATGTATCTTTGGATCAATTCTGTTGATATTTAAATGCAAATAAAATTTATTATTATTATTCACAATACATATTTATTGTGTGATAATATAACTGTGACAGGCAAAGGAATAATAAAAGAATCAAAGATGAAACAACAAGAATTAATATATATATTTAGTTTTTTACCAACATAGGAATAAAATTTGTTTGCGTTCCTAATATATAATAATGTCAACTAATTAGAATAAAATCAAACCATTATAATTAGATATATGCACAGTTCTCATTGATATAAGTTCAGCCATTCATAGCCAGCCATAAGTTAATTTGGTATTGGTCCGTGATAAACAGTTTATTTAGCTACTTTATTGTACTCATTGCCCAAATGCTTTCATATAGGTTTAAAAATTGAAAACGACTTTTCATTTAATTTTTAACCGACTTTCAAAAAGGAGGAGGTTCCCAATTCGTCGGATCACCGATTACTCGAAGTCGCCTGAACCGATTTGGATTTTTTTTGTTTCAAAGGGTATACAGGTGGTCCTATATAAATTTTATTGAAATCGGTCGAGCGGTTTTTAAAAAAAACAACAATAAATATTTTTTTAAATAAATTGTTTAATCGAATGTTATTAAAAAACTTTCTCCTTACAAATTACCTGCTTATTAGGTCTATACTAAAAATGGAAAAAATAAACTTTACAAAAATAAAATAAAAACCGACTTCCAGGCACCAAAATGTAAAAAATAACTAAACGGAGGTTTTCATTTAGAATAGATACCTAATCAGATATTTTCGAAGTCGGTGCCAGCTGACAATATTTTAAGATATGAATATCTGATAGGTAAATATGTATTTTACGTATCGAAATATATTAGATTTGCTTTGCATCGGCTGGCACCTACTTCGAAAATATCTGATTAGGTATCTATTCAAAAGGAAAACCTCAGTTTAGTTATTTTTTATATTTTAGTGCCTGGAAATGGGTTTTCAACCGACTTCAAAAAGGAGGAGGTTCTCAATTCGACTGTATTTTTTTTTATGTTTGTTACCTCAGAACTCCGTCATTTATTGACCGATTTGGACAATTTTTGTGTTGTTTGAAAGTGTATACTTCCAGATTAGTCCCATTTAAATTTCAAAAAAAAATATCACCCCTAAGGGTGGAAAAATAGCGAATGATGAATTTAACCTACTTCTAATGCTCATATTGACTTGAAACTTTGCAAGTGTTTCTATTTCCGTTGATAGTACAGTGGTCCGGTATTGTTGACCTGATCTGATGGTAAGGCCAGAAGGTGGATAGGTGGAACTCTTCAACGGCTAATAGTAGATACTTTGAGTTTGGGCTTATTTTGTTTGATTTGACAAGCCTAACACGTTAGAATTCTTACTTTGCTACTACTATCTACACTAAAAAGGGAAAAATAAAAACTTTTTAATAAAAAAATAAAAACCGACTTCAAACAAAAGCACTAAAAAGTAAAAAATAACTGATTGGTAGTTTTCATTTACTATACATACCTAATCAAATATTTTCGAAGTCGGTGTGCTTTGCTTTGTATGGGCTGGCACCGATTTCGAAAATATTTGATTAGGTATGTATTTAATAGGTAGGCTTTAATTACTTAGCCAAAGCACACCGACTTCGAAAATATTTGATTAGGTATGTATAGTAAATGAAAACTACCAATCAGTTATTTTTTACTTTTTAGTGCTTTTGTTTGAAGTCGGTTTTTATTTTATTTTTAAAAAGTTTTTTTTTAAAGTTTTTATGTATAAAGTAATAGATACAAAATATTTTTTAAAATTACAAGTCAAATACTTTTGTATTTTATTTTGGTGAAATAAAAAGGAAAAAAATTAACAAGACATTTTGACGTTTACAGCAAACAACACATGGGTATCTCGTATATTATTCGCCTGTTTTTCTGAACACGATCGCATCCCGGAGAATGTGAAACCTCCGAAAGTGGAAGAGAACCCGAGACGTGAAAGTTTAGAACTCGCTTTCTGCTTTACGGGACTTATGTGTTTTTACTTGATATGGGGGCTCTTGCAGGAGAAGATTATGACGCAGGTCAGTACCCTGATATTTACTATTTTGTTAAATTAATTATATAATTTTTATTAACATTATATTTAAAAAAAGCAACTTAGTCTATTCAACAAAAGCCTTTTTGGTCAACTGGTTTCAGTAGTCTCGGAAAAATATGAACGAGGTGTCATTTGATTTGGAATGGCATGACTATGATTTTTGAAAAAAAAATCAAGTTCCGCTTGCAAAAATTGTAAAAGTTATAAACAATTAACTAAAGAAGAAAGAAGGGGTTTTAGTTTTTTGCAAATATCTCAAAAACTAATTGAGATTTTTCAAATCTAAAGAAAAGATTCAAAAAGAGGAGGAAATTTCCTATAAAAAGTCTCGACTCCCGGAACTGTAGGACCAATATTAATAATTTTTCCAGATGGATGAAAATACGGCCGAAATCGAGTGATCTGGCTTCCACAAGCCACACCTACTTCGTACACTTCCTCAATAAACATTATTTTAACATAGTAAATATAAAATTTAAGAAATAAAAAAAAAACAGGGGCTTACTGGATAGATAAATGGACAATATAATCCGTGGAATTTTTTTTATCACAATTTTTCTATTAGATATTCAATAGTTAATTAATAAAAAGAATTCTGCCTGAACATGAACATTCTGAGATATTTTTCCTTTTTTGGAGATTCCCGTTGGAAAAATTAAGATTTTTCAATGGCGTGCGCACCTCACACCCGTGGGAGGCGCACCCGACAGTCATACATACTTTTATAAGAAAGTCGATGTGGAATAGATTTAGGGTTGACGGATATACTTAACTTTCTATGAGAGGACACTACAGCGTTTAACTTTGAAACCATCACCATAAATATTTTTATTTTTGACAACCCTGCGATATTTCAGTTCAGCCCAGAGGCGGTCACTGGCATGGATTTTTATATTGTGATTTAACTGTAATTTAAAAGTTATAATTATAACCTATAACTATTTCGGTGACATATCTTTAATCGAGTACATATAATCTTGCCCGCAGAACTACGAGATGCCCGACGGCACGCTGCTCAGGTTCAACGACTCCCAGTTCCTGGTGTTCATCAACCGGCTGCTGGGCTTCCTCTTAGCCCTGGGCCGCCTCCTCAAGACGGGACAGGCGGTCATCGTGGCGCCCTTGTACAAGTTCTCCTACTGTTCCCTCACCAACATCATCAGCGCCTGGTGTCAGTATGAAGCGTTAAAGTACGTCAGCTTTCCCACTCAGGTACAATTGTTTATGTTTTGTCTACATTGTGTCAATAAAATATTTTTTAATCCCGGGGGATTCCCTAACCCGATGTCCGGTTGCGCAGGTGCTGTCCAAGTCGTGCAAGGTGATCCCGGTGATGCTGATGGGCAAGCTCATCTCGCGCAACAAGTACGAGCCCTACGAGTACGGCACCGCGCTCCTCATCTCCGTGGGGATGGTGCTCTTCATGCTGGGCAGCCACGACGACAGCGCTCGTTAGTGGCTACTACTTAAGTTCAGCTTCATATCTTTAAGATACAATTCGAATTACGTATTATTAACAGGACAAATCCCTCAATCAACTAAGATCGATCATCCACCACCCACCGAACCAAGAAAGAGCTGTTAATCTGTCAATACTTTTAACCCGCATCACTCGGTTTCCCAAGCGAGCGCGTTACCACTGGGCTACCACTGCCTATCTAACCCCATGCAGTATGAGAGTGAAATGAATAGAGAATATTAGAGGAGGAACTTGTGTTTGCGTGTACATTTGTGTACTATAATATCTTTTGAAGTTGGTTAGTTCAGTAACATTTGCTGCCGTGATCGAAAACGGTCAGGAGGATAATATCCGCCAGCAATCCAGGATCATATGTTATATTTTCTGTTACTTATTCATGGCATGTAATTACGCCTTTCCGGTTCGTCCCTAGCATGATTCCCAATATAATCTTTCGTCCCCATTTTCACCCCCTTAAAGGATGTTTCCGGGATAAAAAGTATCCTATGTCCTTCCCATGGTCTCAAACTATCTTCTTACCAAATTTAATCTAAATCGGTTCAGTAGATCCAGAAATTACTCCCTACAACGTCACAAACTCACAATCTCATAAACTTTACGTCTTTATAATATTAGTATAGATATGTCTAGATTTTTTTCTAATTATTCTACCAGATTGAAATTTTGAAATTACTTGAAATTCAGATGATAATTAATCTATATAAATAAAAATGAATGTTGGTAAGCGCATAACTCAAGAATGGCTGGATCAATTAGACAAAAATTTTTTTTCGTATGTTCCTTAAAATCCATGGAAGGTTTTAATAAAGAGAATAAATGAAAATTAACGGAAAAAAATAAAATTTATATGGCTAACGCTGGCTAATAACTATTTATATCTATTTAAAACGTATCTAACGACGAACCCGGGCGAAGCAAGGGTGAGCCGCTAGCAAAATAATAAAATAAAGTTGATTTGTCATTATTATTAAGGGGTATGCTAGAGAAATACTCTTTAATAGTCACATAAATTGTGTAAAATTGTATATCAGACATTTGTTCAATTCAAATTCATATTATTCAACATTAAATAAATTAATACAATTCATCACTGAATAACGTTAGACTGATGAGTATCACCAGTTCGGTAAAAAAGCTTCAGTCCTAAGGACTAGCGAAAGAAAATATGTTATATGGGAAATATGCGTGTGCGGTGTGGGTGCGTGCGCAGCGTGGGGCACGACGCGCGCGTCGGGGCTGTGCCTGCTGGCGCTGTACCTGTGGTGCGACAGCTTCACGGCGGCGTGGCAGGGCGCGCTGTTCCGCCGCCACGCGCCGCGCCCGCTGCAGATGCTGGCCGCCGTCAACCTGTGCTCGTGCGCGCTGACCGCCGCCGCGCTGCTGCGCCGCGCCGCGCCGCACGCCACCACCGCCGCGCTGCTGCAGGTACCTATACGATATGTTACTCATTCTTTAAAAAAAATATTTCATGTACCTAAAGATTTCGCTAAGTTACTGCTTTATATAGATACTACTAGCTGGCTTCCCAGTACAAACTTTCATCCCCATTTTCACCCCCTTAAGGAATGATTTCCGGGATAAAAAGCATCCTATGCCCTTCCCAGGGTCTCAAACCATCTTCTTACCAAGGTACAGTAGATCCAGAGATTACCCCCCACAAAGTCACAAACTCACAAACTTTACCTCTTTATAATATTATATTAGTATAGACCAGATAGAGAGAGAGTATCTTAAATTTTTTTTCTATTTTTTTTGTATCGATTTCAAATTTTTAAAGTATATGAAATTCAAACGATACGTGTGCTGTGTGTTAATATCCATAATTCATCTATCCGTTTAAATGATAATATCTCCTATACTATTAAAAAAACTGTAAAGATCGAATGTCTGTACATAGAAAAAAAATGCTACAAACCGAGTCAGGGTGATATAAGAAGGCAAATAGAACAAATCCGGTTTTTTTAATTTTTTTGTTTCTCTGTCTGTTTGTACGGGCTAATCTCCGAATCTATTGGACCGATTTAAATAAAATTTTGCATGGTGGTACCTTATATCCCCGGGCAACCACTTAGATACTTTTTATCCCGGAAAATTAAATAGTTCCCGTGGGATAGTTAAAAAACTATAGTATCAATACAGCTTAGTACACAACAACTTATGCACCTAATTTAGTAAAATTTAACATTCTGATACCTTATATTGCCGGTCAAACAACAGGTTACTTTTCATCCCGGAAAAATGAACGGTTCCCGTGGGAACTAATAGATCTCTATTAATCTTTTTCTAGAGGCGAACCCGAGCGAAGCGAGGGTGGGCCACTAGTTATAATAATTAAATCAAACTGATTTGACATTATAATTAAGGAGTATGCTGGAGAAATGCTCTTTAGTAGTCACTTATATTGTGTAAACAGCCTGATACGCCGCTACCGCGAGAGACGTCGGTGTGTGCGTTTCCGTTGAATGATTAGCGCTCTTGATTTTATCCAAATTTTTTATTAAACTATTAGTTTCTTACTGAATGTCTTAAGTCTATAACCAGTACGAAAAAAATCTCATTTGTGAAAAGTACTGACTAAAAAAACTTGTAGTAGTGTACCTAGAGTTGCGGGGTTGTATTGAATTTCTACAAACATACAAACTCATGTCTTGCACTCCACAGTTTATTACAACTTGGATTTTTATGCCTTTACTAGCTGTGTCCGCTACTTCGCTCGTGTCACGTGTGGGGCACTAGGAATATAAAACCGCGTTCCATAAAAAGATACTTCTTAGTTACTTTTCTTATTCTACCTTATTTAGTAAAGTTACTTCTAACTGGAAGTTATTAACAGACAGACAAAAATTGAAAAAGCAAAAAAAAAAAAAATTATTACTTATTCTCAATCTACCAAACTATTTTATTTCCAAATATAAACAACGTAAAGGCATACAGAACTATCATTCTTATTGTGCGTATGAATAGATTATATTTATATGTTTATAAGTCTATTTCATGTAATAACACGCCCCATGTGTGTGTGTGTGTGTGTGTGTGTGTGCAGAACCCGATGTTCGTGGCGGACGCGCTGCTGCTGTCGGTGAGCTCGGCGGCGGGGCAGCTGCTCATCTACCGCACCATCGCGCGCTTCGGCCCCGTGCTCTTCACGCTCATCATGACCATACGACAGGTACGCGCCTCACGCACTCACACAGGTCTACTCACACGCCTTCTAGAGACAGAATACCATAATACCACTGTACTAGAGACTAGAATAACCTGCCACAAGATGGCTCTACAGTGCCTTAATTCTGATATCGTTCGTCATGAAAATTGTTATAATTTGACCACCAGTATATTGAACAGAGTATCTGTTAAAATAATAAATAATAAATAAATATGTTGGGACATTAATACACAAACAACAAACAGTTTAGGGGAACTTTTAAGCTAGGGATTCCATACGTAGGTGGTAGCTTATGGGATGTTGGTGAAATCGGGTATTAGCCATTCGAGGCAGGTCAATAATGTTGCCAACGCCTCTTAACGTTTAACTTTACTACACTGTTGTGGTTACTGGATAAAAGTTATATAAACAATGTTTTTTCTTATTAAATGGAAACGAATTTATTGTAATACATACGTGTATATAATTTATTTTCTTGTATATTTTCAAAAGTGCCTTGAAAGACAATTACACTGGGTCTGTAGACTACCAGACGAGCGTATATGAAGATAATGTGATAAATAAATAATGGATGAAGCGAAAGGGGTGTATAGAGATCATAGCGCTTGGCGTCCGTTGTCGCTGCCTACGCCGGGACCAAACCTGCTATAGCGTTGAAGTTGTGTTGTGTGTTTGTATTACGATTATCGTCACGTATTATTATCCCTCAGGCGGTGTCCATCCTGGTGTCGTGCGCGGTGTACGGGCACGCGGTGTCGCCGGCGGGCGTCCTGGGCGTGCTGCTCGTGTTCGCCGCCGTGCTGCTGCGCGTGTACTGCCGCCGCCGGCACCCTAACCCTCCCCTCCACCCGCACCCTCACCCTCACCCTCTCCCGCACCCGCAGACGTAGGGCTCCGCCGCCGCCGCCCGCGGCCGCGCCCGGTGGCCTCTATACAGGCACAGGTTAGATGCGGAGCACAGGGTGGTGTCAGCTGTGAAGATTTTTCAATGTCAGTTTTGGAGGAGATGGAGCTGAATATTGTCATAATATATTAGATTGGGTGTCTTTACATGTAAGTCTTAAAATATGATTTTTTTCATGTTTAAGACGAGTGTTAGTTAAATAATATTTTATTAGAAAATTTAATTTAACCGCTGCTTAAGTTAAATAATTATATTAGATCAAGTTCGTCTCGAAAATGTTTTATTACTAACTAGCGGCTCACCCTCGCTTCGCTCGGGTTCGTCGCTAGGTACGTTTTAAATAGATATAAAAAGAAAAAATCTTTCTTTCTCACATTTTAATTATATGTTTTAATACTTACCTATTCCGGACTAAGAGAAATCCAAAAATTAAAATATCATAAAAATTGGAACGCGGTCGAACGGGATAAAAAGTATCCTATGTCCTTCTCCTGGCTCTAAACTACCTCCCTGCCAATTTTCAGCTAAATCGGTTCAGCCGTTCTTGAGTTATAAGCGAAGTAACTAACACGACTTTCTTTTATATATATAGATAATATATTTGTGAGTGACGTCCATCGGTTAAGGATTGTATTGGCCAAATGAATACTAGGTAGTTTTTTAGTCAAAGATAATCAAGATATGTTCTGTTCAGAATTGCCACTCGGTGAATGTTTCAAACGAAAAAGGTTATTGTGTCATTCTGTGCTATTTATGTTAAATTTTTAACATATTAGTCTGTGGTGCTAAACGTTTGTAAGTGTGTTGAGTGAAGTAGCCATTGCTATGGAACTGTGGAGGGCACAAAAAAAATTATTTAATTTATTTATTTTTAGATCTTGACTTTATACAAAGTTCTTATATTCTGTTCGTTTATAGATGTGTTAAATGTTTAATGTGGCTGTATTATGTCATAGTTACCTAGCTCGAATATGATTAAGTCTTTTATAGGGCAAGGTTACATGTAAAAAATATTATTGAATTGAAACTTCTTTAGGTGCGTTGTAAGAGAGGAAAAAGTATTGGCGTTACGATTTTTGTAACGGAAACGGTTGTTACGGAAGTGAATAAATAGTCAATTAAAAACTATTTAAACTATAACATGTTTTAATTATAGTTCTCACTGCGGATGTACTTTTCGTCTAGTGTTATTTGTATAATTTAGTAATATATTTAAATAAATTATTATTTTAATTAGTTTAAATGTTTACATGTAACGTTGTTTTATAAACACTTTAAATGTTTGGAATTAACAGATTAATATACTGTTTCATGTTCAAATAAATATTTATTCGAATAAGACAATGTGAGGCGACAGATATATCTGAAACCTTTGTATAATATAATTGAATGGTACATTTAAATGTATATAGATAAAAATATACTTAAACTTTTATTTTGTTTTATTTACATAATAACGACAAATATTTCATTTCATCCTTAAATTTACATCGAAAATTCATCATTGGTTAAAATATTGTGTATATATTATGTTTTATTTATAGTATTTTTTTTTAATGTAAATTCATATTAAATTTATTATATATATTGGGAGTAGACACAAATAATAACTATCTTACTCTGGGGAGTATACTACAGAGCGCGTGCGCTGTTCCTTTGAACCCCTAAACTCTGGTGGGACGAATCAACACCGAGGTGACAAGTAAGGTGTAGGCTCGACAATTTGACTACAGTTTTCGACAGTGTGTTTCGTTGATCATGAAAACCTACGTATGTATGGTTTTCGATGTTTTTAATATATTTAGTGCAACACCATATCAAGTATTTGAAATTTTGCGTATGGTCATTAAGGTGTACAAAAATGATTTTAATTGAACTACTTTAATATACTTTAATATTTACACCACTCACCCTGTATAGTATTCCATATTTCCTAACCCAAAAGTTGTCTGGAAGAAATCGCTAATTAGCGATAAGACCGCCTTTTGTGCACACTTTTGTTTCTGTTTCTTTTTTTTGATATTGTGTTTACTTGTATTTACTTTATGATTGTGGTGTACAATAAAGTATAAATAAATAAATAAGTTACTACGTAGTAAGTTTCTTACCAATCGGTAGGATAGATTTTAAGATAAAGTTGAGAATTCAGTTCTATAAGACAATGTAATGGTCATGTTCAGTTGACAAAGTTGCAGGCAGTTTTATTATTATAAATACCCGAAAGTTATGTAGGGACGCGAACGAGCGAAGCGGGGATAAATTGCTAGTTTGATTAAAAAAACCAAAAATAATAATAATATGATAATGCTATGTACAGATAATATAAATATATATATATTTTTTAATGGCTTATAGATGCGTTAACAGACGCAATCCATTCTGCCAGTGTAATATAAATATGTTTAAGGTGAATAATTAAGTCTGCGAAAACAATGAGTTAAAATATGACGTTAAAAATCGAGTTGTCATTATATCAAAATTCATGAAAATTATTTTGCATATTCATAATTATGTTTTGGTTCGAGAATCCTTATAATATTAATAGTTACTATCAATTTAAACTGTTACAAACCGATTCTGAAATATAACCTGGTAAATACACGGTAAGTAATGTTTAACCATGTGTAAAATAAATTTTAAATATTATTTTATTACAAAATATATGAACAATTCAATATTCATTAATCTATAGTATAGATTAATATTAGTATAGATTCTATACTAATATTATAAAGAGGCAGAGTTTGTTGTGTGGTTGAACGCGGTAATCTCAGGAACTACCAATCAGATTTGAAAAATTCTTTTTGCATTAGATAGCCCGTTTATTGAGGAAGGCTTTAGACTAATATATCATCATACTACTAACCAAGGTAGCGGAGCTATATTCATAAATGTCAAAAAATCGGGTAGATTATAACTCATAGCATAAAACCAAAGACTTTTTTGTAGTTTTAGCGTGAGCGAAGTCGCGGGTTCTTCTAGTGTTAAATAAATTTAAATCGACATATACATACAGTAATTTAGTATAACTATATTATGTATCACTGCTATGTGTGTATATATATATATCGCTTTACACCTATACGGATCCATCGCAATGCGTTATGAAAAATAATTTTCAAGACATGCCCAAAGCTCCCACTTCAGGTAGTAGATAGGATGCTCTTCCAAGTGCTGTTGACGACGGTGGTGGCGCTGGGCGTGGCGCCGTGCGTGCTGCAGCGTGCGTGCCCGGCGCGCGCCGCCCGCCCGCCCTCCAGCGTGTGTATGCACCGCCTGCACCCGGACGACCGGTCAGTAATAATAATAATGATGTCCTACCGATCGATTTCGGCCACGGCGGCCAATCTCACTGATACTTAATACACAAGATATTTTAGTGCACAAGTGTTTGCGCAGAGACAAATGCACTCTCTATTCCTTTTACTCTTAAAGTCTGATGGAACGATACTTCGACACGATCTGTGAGAGTTAAGGCGCAGGACCGTCGGTTTTACTTGCTCTTCGAGGCACGGGGGTGGAACGCAGCCATCTTCCCAACTCCGGAGTGTTACTGAGAATATCTTACAGAAAAACTCAGTAGTTAAATTTGGCCCGACCCGGGGCTCAAACCCAGAACCTCTGGATCTGCAGCCGTAAATGATAGCCACTAGACCACAGAGGCACCGGTCAGTACCTACGGACGGTATTAGCCTATTCATAGCACTGTATAGTTTCGTTTTGTTTGTATGTGACTCGACTACATGTAAGCCGTTGAACGATTTGGATGAGCTTTTTTACCCGACTGAGGCGAAGCTCAAAGGACCTACAATTTTCTAGTACATTGTTTTGATGTATCTCTTTAAGTTTTAGCCAGCGATAGACATGTAAATTTTTAACGACGACTCGATAAAATCAATTATGATGTTTTTTTTAAGGAAGTGAAAGATGTTCCTATAGTAAAAGGTATGCTAAATGTTGACCCGAGTAATAAGTTATCACTACACAAAATTTAGTTAAAATCGGTTCAGTACTTTTTGCGTGAAATTTCAAACATATATAATGGCATAAAGACAAACAGACAAAATTTTAATAACTATTGCTTTGGCGTCTATATTCCGTACACAATACGTTATACTCATTGTTTTTTTAAAATATTTCTTGTATAAATTTCGCTATTAGTTACTGTTTTATTATACTTATGTATAAATGTAAATATTCTTGTAGTTTGTCTATACATTTATAATAACCAATAATACTAAAATAATTTCTAAAAACTATGTTATAAAGCTAATTGAATTGCGTCTTAAATTTGAAAATATTTCAGTAAATACATTTATATGTGATATTTATTTTCAGATACATCGTTAAATGTTCTAAAAAGTGTTAGTTTTTACCAGTTACAAATCTACGAGTGTAAATGTTAAATCTTCAGTACTGAAAGTATTATAAAGGTAAAATATATAATCTTATTATCGTTATAGTTATAATATAGCGTAAATAAACATGTAGAGACAATGCATGAATATTTGGTAAGTGAACGAGCGATGTTGTGGACTCGCATCCGTCCCCTGTTTACCAAATAAACTCGCATTGTCTATTATTTAGAGCTCAGGCGTTCGTACTAAAGTTTTATATTAAATTGATTCCCCGTACAAACTTTCATCCCCATTTTCAACCCCTTAAGGGATGATTTCCGGGATAAAAAGTATCCTATATCCTTCCCAGGGTCTCAAATTATCTTACCAAATTTCATCTAAATCGGTTCAGTAGATCCAGAGATTACCCCCTACAGCGTGACAAACTCACAATTAACAAACTTTACCTCTTTATAATATTAGTATAGATATACATGTTATATTTCGGTGTTTTATATATAAAAGTAAATACATAAGTATGTTTTTATAACTAAAATATAGTAGAGATTTTGGTATATCAAGGCAATTGATGTTGCTCTGTCACAGTATTCGTAGAATTATGTTAGAGGTCCCTAACTAGTTACGACGTAATATCACCTATGGATATAGGGGTATATGCTAGAGTTAAGAAATACATAAATAATGAAAATCTTGGATTGACTAAAAGTTAATTTTATTGATATTATACAAATATTAGATGTTCAAATATTTTTGGTGCTTTACAATCATCTGCTGACAATTCATCTTAAAATAATCTCTAAAAGATATTGTAATCATATAAAAATTAAATTATTATACATATAATTTACATCAATCCACCATATAATATTTCTCAGCAAACTCGAACCAAACTCGCCCATAACAATAGTAGCGTTTAGGCAAGCATGCGCAGGCGCATAAAGCGCCCGGCTGGGCGATGCGCGCGCGAGTGTTTCTGCAAGCGTTGCTTTGGCTGCCGCTGGCTCCTTTGTTGCTGCTCCTGTCGCTGCTCCTGTCGCAACGAAACATGATGCTAGCTCTCGTTCTAGCTGTGGTGTTGGTTCATCAGGTATAATGATGTTTGAGATGAATTTAAACTAGAAGTATTGTTCTGACTGATTCTGTCATGAAGCATAACATAGTGCACGAGTAGCCATATTTTTTGGCATGACACACTCGGAGAAATATGTTTTGACCGAAATTCAGTCATACTACAGAACTGAAAGATGATAGTGCACGGTTAGCTTTACTTTCTGGTATAACCGATGAGAATTTATGGTGTAGATTGTAGAAGTTAGAAGGCTTTCGTAGGTAAAGGCGTAGAAGATGTGCTGCCGTGCGGGAGTGTCTTATGATCGATCTTCCCTTAGCAAAATGTAGCATTTGTTCTCAATAAATCTTATGGCTTGACTCGACTTACAATATTATAAGTTTACTAGCATTGCTCGCGGCTCCGCCCGCGTTCAGATGAACATAAACCAAATTCTTAGGTTTTACATATTAGTATACCCTTACATTGCAATTTTTGTATTTTTTCTCAGAAATGAAATAATTTCCCGCGGTAAAAAGTATCCCATATATTGACCCGGTTAACCAGCTATCACCATACCAATTTTCACAGACAGACAAAAATTCTAAAAACTATAGATTCGGCCTCTGTATCGAAAATAATGTTTATTTCAATAAGACTTTGTTAAAAATATTTAATGTACAGATTCGGCTTGGTTACATTTTTATTATATGTATAGATAGCCAGCTAGCTATCACGGCAGTCAAATTGGATGTTGTACATTTTCAATGTAATGAGCGGGTATCCTGTCTCTGGTACATTGAGAATGTGAGTATTGAATGGATCATACGATATACCTACGTGGGAAAGGGTGAATATTTTTCATTGTAAGTGAATTGTAGGAAATTTGTGCACATAGTGTGTATATTTTTATGTTATTAATTTAGTAACAGTTTTTTTATACATATATATATTTTAGTAGCAAAATAAATGAAATCTATTAAATAATATTTTTTTTCACATTCTACAGGCAGCCGCCGAGTGTAAGAATTGTGTAGTAAGTACTATCATGAATTGTATTTTATTAACCGACTTCCAAAAAGGACGAGGTTCTCAATTCGTCGGAATCTTTTTTTATGTATGTTCATCGATTACTCGAAGATGCCTGAACAGATTTGGAATTTTTTTTCTTTCGAAGGGTATACTTCCCAGGTGGTCTCATATAATCGAAATCGGTCGAGCGGTATTTAAAAAAATCGAATATGTTAATAAAAAACTTTCTTACAAATTCCTTGCTTATTACGTCTACACTAAAATATTGTAAAAAATGCCGATGCAAAAGCAAATCTAATATACCTGTTTCGATATCTAAAATACACCACAAATTGATGTACAATATTTTAACTACAATTAGAGTTCATACCTAATCATATTTACCTATTAGATATTTATATCTTAAAATATGTCGGCTGGCATCGTCTTCGAAAATATCTGATTAGGTATCTATTCTAAATGAAAACTCCCGTTTAGTTATTTTTTACTTTTTAGTGCCTGGAAGTCGGTTTTTTTTTAAGTTTTCATGTTTATAATACCGATGATAATATACTTAGATCAAAATTATATCTTTATAATATACGCCTTTTTACATATAATTTAAAATGAGAAAAAAAAACCACGTTCATAAGAGATAAAAATAATACTTAAATATTCACTTCTTTTACTAAGACATTAGGTAAAGATGAAAAAGCTATGTTCCGAGCGCATTCCGAAGCTTGTCTCGCGCAGTCCCAAGTGGACCCTAAGCTCGTGGACAGTCTCTTGCGCGGCGAACTGATAGACGACCCCGCGCTGAAGAAACACGTCTACTGCGTACTGCTCAAATGTAAAGTTATTAGTAAAGACGGGAAGCTCCAAAAAGCTGTGGTGCTTGGGAAGATGGCCCATCGAGCCGACGGGAAGAATGTTACTAAGGTCAGATTCACATATTATTATAATGAGAAACAGCATATTTATCGTCGAGGTACCAATATTTCGTCAAAGTTGCAAGCGTTTACAATGTTTATTCGTCACTTGAGGACGCGGGTTCAAGTCCCGTTCTCAACAAAATATTTATGTAAAGCTATTTATTTATGTGAATGTATGCCTGGTCTGTAAACAGCAAACACAGAAAATTGCTTGTCTAATGAATCAAAATATTTTAGTAAATTTTAAGATAAACATTTATGATGATATTTAAAGAAATCCTTGTTTCTTTATCGCAGGTGTTAGAGAGATGCGCGGATCAAGGCGGACAGACTCCGGAAGAGCTCGCGTGGAACTTGTTCCGCTGCGGGTATGACAAAAAGGCAGTACTCTTCGACTACATGCCCATTAAACCTTCCGCCACAGGCGACAACGATGCTTAATCACTCATTCGTATCTCATATATTTAATTGTATCACTTTTTTAAATTGAATATTTAGCAATCGATTATTTAAAAAAAATCTAAAGTTACCATGTTATTTAGATCAATTATTTTAAAAAATATTCTAAAGTTACCATGTTATTTTTTTTATATTCTGTACCTAATTATCATTTATAATGCTATCATAATTTAAGATTTTATAATAAAATCCTAGTATTTTTATAATATGGAGTTTTCTTCAATTTTATATTTCTACAATCTGGTGTCAAACGTATGTAACATGTCATTAATAAAAAAAGTTCATATATAATTTACATTGCTAATGATTTCTCTATCCATCAGTGTTTGTTTGATAACGTCATCGCGATGTCTAATGATTTTTAAACGTAGAACATCTCGTTGTTTGTATTATTGCAATGAAATCATCGACAAGCCTTTATTATTATTTACCATGTTTTATTTACAAAACGAATACCTCGTTTTCTAACAGCATTTACGTATTGTACGGTCTAAGTTTTGTTTGATTTTTTTTAAATATTTTTATTAAATTATTTAAAAATAAACATTATATTAAGTAAAAATCATAAATCTTTTATGAAATTAAAAATTACTCTTGCTTTGCTCGGGTTCGTTCGGTTAATTAAACCATACCTATTTCATTATAAACACATGAATAATAAATAATATGTAATTATAATCGTATACTATACTATAACTTTAGTATAAGCTTAGTGTTATTAAAGAAAAGTAATGAACAATATGAATAGTACTAAAATAAATAGAATATAGAATAAAACTAAAAAAATATAAATGAAAAAATAATAAAAACATCTGCCAAATATTCTAAAAAAAAGTCCATAAATATTATTATCGAAGCTTTTATTGAGCGCACGAAAGATTGATTGCATTACGCGTAAGTGTAAATTACGTTCGAAACACCGTGATCTCATTGCAGGCTGTAGGCGTTGACCCACAAGCGTACAGCCTGCGCTCGAGCTGGAACTCTGGCAGTATGCAATAAAGCCTTTGCCTAAACGTGTCGTTATCGAAGAAAAGTAACAATTTCGGCGCGAAACTATTTAACTTTTATCAACGAAATATTTTTTACTTTTAAAAATTAATATGGATATGTGAGAGTGATTATATGCAATAATATTATAAATATTTTATGTACATATATATCAACATAATTTGAAGTTTGTTTGTTTTTAAATAGTGCAATATCTAATGTGCGGATTTCAAGGAGCGCAGGGGATTGTTTTTAAACGTATGTTTATTTTATTATATTAAATCCAATAGATAACTATTGTTTATTTATAAAAATATAGAACTTTACAATATGTTAATTTATAAGATTAATTTTCCTAGATCCTACTAAATTAAAATATCCATTCTGAAAAGAAAGAATTCTAAGAGAATACGTATTCTATATATTATTATAAAATATTTTTCAGTATTGTAACTAAGTAAAGGCCTGAATACATATAAATATTAAAATGAAATTTAGATCTGCCTTATTCAAAAGGCTTTCACAAAATATATACTTTATCCACGATAACTTCTTGCATGTAGGTACATGATAATACTATATTATTAAATGGAAATATTCTACGTTTATCGCATTTTGTTAGAAGCCTTGAAACATAATAATTATAAATGCATAATTTAATATAATTTTCCTACATCAATATTGTGTTTGCATATTTATGCACCTAGCACCCGTTTACAGTGAATTAATAAGCAACACTAATGCAAGTAGGTGGGTATGCTAATATCCAATCATAAATTCTTTGATTCTCGATAAAGCAAACTTATCTGACGTATTTTAATACATTTAGAGTTTTAATAATCTGAATGTCCTGGGCACATCCAACAGAGTTACCCTCAGATGGGTCCCGGGTCACTCAGGCATAGATGGGAATGAAAAGGCTGATGCATTGGCAAGAAGGGGCGCTGAAACCCCAAAATGTGGCCCAGAACCATTTTGGGGGTAATAGTGGGTATAGGTGTAAAACATGTCGAATGAACGATTGTCCAAACTTTAGTATTAACAGTTTGTAATTTGACTTATTTTATAATTAAAACAAACTAAAAAATTTAATAAATACAAAAAAAAAGTAAAAACTTTGTATCCGACCGGGATACGAACCCAGACACCTGTGGTTGTAAAACTTGCGCCTTGGCCTTATTATTGCGGTAAATACGTAAAGTACGATAGAATTGAAAAAATGTATGGCATTTTTATGACTAAGTAGACAGATAGACAAATATAATGAGCTTGTCTACAATAAAGATGTGCGATGTCCATCCGTCATTACCGCACGAGCGCGTGGGCGGCAAGTAGGCAAGCATTATGGACCGATCTTTGAATGGCCATGTTTCCTCAGTTCATAGTACCTACTTAAGTACTAAGGGTTCACTCTTGATAAAATATTGACACAATGTTAACGACTTGAGAAGCACATAACTCTGCAATTTTTGACTTTAACAAAAAAGTGTCTTAAAAATATGTATTTTAATTTTGAAGACCTACACAGATATACAACACAAGTTTTTGTAGATTTAAAAAAAAGTTTATCCTTACGGGGCTCCCGGCCGATGTGAAACATCTACGTTAATATTAGAGTTCATAATTAATAAAAAAAAACGAAATATGAAGTAAAATAAAGAAAAAATAGAGCTTCGGTAATAAAATCAATTTATTTTTCTTATTATTTTATTTAGGTATATAGAAATTAAAGAAGAACAGAAAATATGTAGGAATTTTTAATAGGGACTGTTTACACTAGAGCGTGTTAGTATACGGTCTAAACGCGCGCGCACAAACAAGGAAGTCGATAGTGGTGGCGCAGAAGGGGCATGATGGCATGACAGCGTCATGTCATAATTTGCCGTGACACCACGATGTGGTTTTGCTGCCAAGGTGTGCCAATAGATGTTTCACATCAAAAATCATCCCCTAACTTGCATGTATGAAGTGTCATCCCTATTTTATTTGAGTACACGATGTTATAGGTAGTGGTTTGAATGCACGTTCTAAATTTCAGCAATAGTCTTCGAGTAAAATGACTGTGACATACGGACAGGGGGATATGAAGATTATAAGGGCTTCATTTTAGCCTTATACTAAAAAATTAGTTTGTTTATTTTTAAAAATCTTTATAATTAAACAATTTTTATTACATTTGTGTTCTTGTACCTTTATAAAATTTATAATTTTACTATTATTTTGAATGCTCATACAGAAGCATTTTACCATCTTTATTTATATTCAACATATGGTTATTACTATGTACATTATTATATTGAACCATCACAACTTCATAAAAATGGTAAAACGTATACGTGCAATTTTGATGTCACTAGCCAATCTATACATATAATAAAATTGTAACTAAGCCGAATCTGTACATTAAATATTTTTTGGAAAATCTTATTGAAATAGACATTATTATCGATACATAGGCCGAACCTATAGTTTTTAGAATTTTTGTCTGCCTGTCTGTCTGTCCTTCCGTCCGTCCGTCCGTCTGTCTGTCTGTCTGTTACCGCATCACAGAAAAACCACTACAGGGATTTTGATGAAATTTGGTATGGTGATAGCTGGTTATCCGGGTCAACATATAGGATACTATTCACCGCGGGAAAATATCTCATTTTTGAGAAAAAAATACAGAAACTGCAATGTAAGAGTATACTAATATGTAAAACTTAAGTATTTGGTTTTTGGTCATCTGAACGCGGGCGGAGCCGCGGGCAATGCTATTCTAAAATAAGTTTAAATTAATTCGCGTTAAAAATCGGCAACCCTAACCGTATCTAATCAATCTGTCATCCGAATCAGTCCATCTTTTGTATGGAACATTTGCCGAAGATTCTAGTGTAGGAGTCACACCACAGACGTATTATTATAATTAATGAATTATTGTGTTATTAGATTCAATTACAAATTAGTCCTTAATAATACGTTTCATATATCTATAATATATGTATAAGGCACTACAAGTTTAAAATTGGTCCTGTCGGCATTTCATATTTTAGCGAATAATTCTAACTAAATATATTTTTTATTTATTATAAACTTTTCTCAATATATCCCCGAATTGTTGCTTATCTACACATATAATAAAATTGTAACTAAGCCGATCGATACCGATTACAGAGGCCAAATCTAAAGTTTTTAGAATTTTTGTCTGTCTGTCTATCTGTTACCGCATCACAGAAAAACCACTGGAGGGATTTTGATGAAATTTGGTATGGTGATAGCTGGTTCTCCGGGTCAACATATAGGATACTTCTTACCGTGGGAAAATATCTCATTTTTGAGAAAAAAAACTGCAATGTAAGAGTATACTAATATGTAAAACCTAAAAATTTGGTTTTTGGTCATCTGAACGCGGTCGGGGCCGCGGGCAATGCTAGTAGAATACTAAAGTCAACACATCGATAAAACGGACCTACAGCGCGGAGACATTTCTATGAGGAAAATATTCACAAATAGCTCTGTATTATTGGTTATAAGGAACTAAATGCGAGGACACTGCCACTTGTGGCCGAGCTTAAATTATATTATATTTATTGTAGCTGCTTTTGGTGCCATCGCCGATTCCCGTCCGACCGATTTGGTATTATTATTGATACTCCAAAAGATATGACAGACTGTACACTGTATAGATACGAACGACTCGTTCTCAACACTTATTATGGAGTGTATTTTATTTTCATGTTACTTTAAATATTACTCATAATTTGTACTTTGTCAGTATATATGTTGCTTTCTGTGTGAATTTTAAGTCTTATTGACATGGTTTAATGAAGATGGAAAATGAAATTGCTATATTGTTACTCCAATATCTTTCTAAAAAAACCACTCTTAAGTATAATGCGCATAAATATTAAGAGTGGACAATACAATAATACAATATGTACCGCCTACCGGTTTCGAGTTGGCGAGTGCTTGGAGTTAAATATTTTAGATAAATTACTTACTGATGTAAC